AAGAAAGAAAGAAAGAAAGAAAGAAAGAAAGAAAGAAAGAAAGAAAGGAGGGAGGGAGCTTGCAAATGTTCACAAACATCCTTCCCTTATCCATTAAAAAATCTCTCATAAAAAGCAGTTACATTCAGTAGCCATGAAGTACTGAAAGTTTCAGGAGCAAATGAAAGGTGGCGGGTGAGGGGGAATAGAATGGAATGGATTATCCTGAAAAGGTAGGTGAGTTTGTCTTAACTGGCTGAAATTTAAGAACAATAAGAGCAATTTCTCTGCCTTTTAACAGTATTGAGTAAGGAAAAAAACCCACTTTGAAGTGAGAACCTGGTAGAGTTTTATTTACATTATTAAGAAACAGCAAGCAGGCAATGAAGAGGAACAGAAACAACGTTAAAGACATTGGGCTATTCAACGAGCCATCTTAGATGTGCAGAATATTTTTAAATGCCATTACAAGGTTAAACAGTCCAACTATAACTGCTTGCTTAGCAAATAAACTCACTGTAATTGCCTTGACACCAAATCTGGGGTAAAACTTCTCTTCCTCCTGACCCTCATTCACACCATCAAAAAGCACTGAGAGATTCCCTCATAAACAAAACTTCCATCTTGTCATGCTTCATATTGGCCAAGTTGTCGGGATGCTCTGGAGTTCTTTGCACAAAATCTGCCTTTTCTCCCATTGCTTTTTCTTATCATAACTATAACTCTGATCAATACCAGAGATATCCAGGCCTTGAACTATAGGGCTTTAAAATGATAATCAGCAGTTTGAATTGTACCCCAAGCTAATCAGCAACCAATGCAATTCCTGTAATATTACAAAAATGAATGTGTGCATAATTAACTGGATGAGCTGAATGATCTTCAAAGGCAGTCTTACGTAGAGTGCATGGGGCCATGAATCCAAGAAGTCCCTGATTGCAAAAAGGAATATTGTGGCCTCACCAAAATAAATTACAAGGGTGACCCATGTGATTTCCATCCCATGCCCAGAACATAACCTCTACTGAAAGGGTATACATAGCATAATCCATTTCATCCAGGATTGAAACTGCATCCTTTCTGCAGTTGCAACCTCAGCAAGTGCTCAGCAAATTTTCTTCAGAACAGAAGATTCAAGACTGGCTATTGGTTATTCAGAAAAATAGGTTTGAACAACAAGCTTCTTGAAGAGGGAATGCACTACTGTCTGGTGGCACAATCATCTTGATCAAGAATGCATTAACCGCATAAACCCGGTTTCAAGTAACTTTTCATTAAGCAGGTGAAAGTAGAGGTGTAATTTAGAAGTGGTACACTGTATAGGACACTAAAATTGTCCATTCCTTTAATAACCATAGGGTCAAAGCAATTCCAGATAAGCTCATTAAATAAGGCTTGTGCCAATTCTCCTCCAGCTAACATCCAACTCTGAATGAATATAAGCACTTTAATCTTTTCAATTTTGTATGAATTCATTACAGCAGCCCAGGAGTCAATTTTTGGCCCGATTTTCTGCCGAATCAGCTTTAAATACAATAAGAGGAAAGAAACCTCACTCCATTGCTTTTCTTGCTATAATGTAGACTAGAATTTGAGTTCTTCCCCATGTTCAATCACATTTATCTTCATCAACATCACCGTATGCTGCAGCTTTATAATCTCTTTTGCAGTTACATATTCTGGATCCCTTCAGTAAACCAATGTGTTTTCTTGGCACAGTGAGCAAAACTTGAAATAATCCCCAAGTAACCTTTGAAAACCCAGAGAATCCACTTGGTACCTGAGGTGAACTAATCAAATAGGTCTATCCTTCCTATAGAGGTCATTGGCACTGGCTGACAGGTAAACCAGAGAATGATCTGATTATGACAAGGGACTGGGGAAAATGTCTCCTGTCATCTTTCAGTTACTCTGAAATATGTTGATTCCATCATCATCTGAGCATGAAAGATGAAGTGTATAAGTTTATGGTGGCCATAAACTCACAAGCCACATCTGAACTCAATCCTCAAGATGTCTCTTAAAACCAATAGGATGGGAACTTCAGTACCAGCCCTATGATGAGGTGTAGTAACTCAGCCAGGGATGAAGTTGTGCAGCAATAAATCCGGTGCAATATCAACACCCTCAACTTGTTCCTTGAGGCTAAGATTATGAGTAAGACTTTACAGCCAGTCATTGACATATCTACTTTTATGTATGTATTTAGTAAATTTATGTGGCCACTTATCTCACATGAAGTGACTCTAGGCAGCATACAATTTGACCTATCCCAGATCAGTGTGTCTGGTCACCTGCAGAGTCTCCTGAACAACAGTGGATACTTATCCATCCTTCCTTTTCCTAAAGTCATGGCTGATTCAGTACCTGGTATCCAGATGAACACATTTCAGATAGTATAACACCTCTTCCTCACCTATCCAGTCTGTGTTGTATATAGAAGGTTTGCCCTCAAACCCAAAGCAAGGAGAGATAATCAAGTCAGGCAGAGTTGGAATTCAGATAGGAGCCCACAGTTTACTAAACCCCCACTACCTAGTTGCCCAGATGAGATCTAGGTGGTTGGAAGCATGGATTGGCCGCAAGTTTCAATGCTGCCTTCTTTGAAATTTCTGCTTCCCATATTATTTTTTCATCACTATCTCAATACTATTTCTCCTCTCTACTTCCTTACTTCCCTACACCGCCTACTTTTAGGTAACCTATAGGGATGCCTAACTTACTCCATTTATTCTCATCCTCAGCATCCAACCCCACCAAACCTATTTATTTTTCTTGTGCTTGTTCTTGACAAAGTCACTCCATATCCACTATTCTTTTCCATCCAGATCTCCTTCTGTCAAGTTGCTCTAATATATTCAAACACCTCTATGAATCATCATTCTCACAGATTCCACTTGTCTTCAAATTTGAGGAGACAATACTTCACAATTCTGATTCCCAGGAGGAAGCACCTGCAATCACTCTCCACCACTCTATCAGGAATGGTGGTTCAAATCCTCAAGTCATCCACTTCTTTCCACAGTCAAGTCTACAAAATACCTTCCAAAATCAGCTTATATCATCTTCTTCTCTGCTTTTACCTTTTTACCTTACCTCTTTTCCTGCATCCTGTATTTAACTGTTTAGCTTAACTTTGCCCTTTTTAGCCTTCCGTGAACTTCATTGCAGCCACTGTATTACATATGTTTTTGCAATTAACTGAAGAGAGTTTTTTTTAAAGGTGAGAGGCAAAATAAATAAATAAATAAATTGGGCTTGATTTCAATAAAATTTGTTGAAAAATCAGCTAAAAGATTTAAATGAAGAAAATTTGTTATAAATTACTGGACACTTTATTTTTTCTTCATTTTTTAACTATGATTATTTAACTATTTTGAAGGCAGCTAGTTGTTGACAATTTTTCATTTCTTCCAATGTATATTTGTGACATTTGTAGGCTCATACCAAATTCTCACTAAGGTGTGCACTTTCACACAATGGCAATTGATCATCATAATTATCTGCACTGCAAGGTATTTAGATAATAATTTAGACAATCTAAACATATGAAAAAAAGAGAGGATATTGTATATACTGTATTGTATTGTATATATGTACTGTACCGTATTGTATGCACTGTATTGTATTGTACTGTATATAACACCACAGAAAACGAAGCAACATTTATTATATTTAAAGAAAAAGGGAGGCAAATGGATGCAGTGGCTTCAATTAAAGAATGATGAATGGAAGCAGAATATGCCTTAATACCAAAACTTACGGAGCATTTTCTTTATCAGAAATTATCAAATTGTGTGTGTGTGTGTGTGTGTGTGTGTGTGTGTGCACGTGTGTGTGTGTGTGTGTGTGTGTGTGTGTGTGTGTGTGTGTGTATGCGTACACATACATGTAATAATATTCCAGGAAGTTACAAGATGGTTTGTAGATAAAGTTTTGATGATGAGACAATTCTTAAGCAATCATTACCACATGCAGTGAAACTTGTCTGGATCTGAGGTCATTTGGTTCTTGGAGGTGTCATGCATGTATTAATGCAAAAATAACCCTTCAACTTTTTTTTAACAATGATTTAAAAAATAGTGAATTTGGGAGATCTACATTTAGGAGCCAGTTTGGTGTAGGGGTTCAAACTTCAGGTTAAAAAACTGGAAAATCATGTGTTCTAGTCTTGCCTTAGGCACTAAGCCAGCTGAGTGAGTTTGGACTAGCTACTTTTTGTCTCAGGCCCTAATTTTCCTTAAATAGCAAACCTTTCCAAGAGAACTGCAAAACTCAGACACTTGTCCAAGCAGTTTGAAAATTGGATACAATTGAATGGAAGGGGTGGGTGGGATGACAGAGCATATATTTTAAAGCAGAAGAATGTGTCTTCTATCTATGGTTTATTTCTTCAGTTAGAAGGAATAAATAGCAAGAATTTTTTTTAAATAGTTGAGATCCTGGTAAGCCATCATCAAACAGAAAAAAATAGTTCTGGGTTTGATACATGGAATGTCTCGATTCATATAAGGTAGCTTCCCAGAAAATTTGCAACCTAATATCCCAATCTAGGTATATTAGATGCATAAGATTTATTATTCCAGTGTTGGCTGGTGATGTCTGAAGCTACTATATCACATATAAAGGTGGGGGAATTGAAAAACATTTCCTCTAAATAGGTTGTGATTTAGTTTTTTGTATATTCCTGGATCAACAAGAGCATGTTCAGGATAAATGTCCTAATTACACTAATGTTTTGGTTTAATTAATTAAACTTGGCCAACTTTAACTGAAAAACTGAGCAGAGTCAGACTTTCTTCGTATTTGATTGGGAAATCAGTGGGACAGCTTAAAACTATGGGCAAATCTGGGAAACTGAAAATAGTCTTAGAAGAAGACAGTGGCAAACTATTTATGCCTTGCTGCCAAGCAAACCACTTAACCATATAGCTTGACTCTAAGGGCAGTTTGCCAAACATGGCTTAAGCGCTGTTCCTTCCATTCAAAAGATAATTGTACCAACTATAAGTAGGTTCACACATCTTCACAGAATGAATCCCCAAGACAAGAACGACGATAATAAATCTGAGTAATAATATCTTATAGTATAAATGCATGCAAAGCATCCTAGAACATTAGCCCAAAAATGTAAAATGTAGGTAAATATTTATCCTATCATATTTAATGACTAATGGCATACATTAATGCATAGACATGGTGCCAGCATGAAGCTCCTTCAATATAATTTGTAATAATTAATTACAGCTTCAGAAATAAAGAATTCCCCTGCTCCAATGTTCCAGAAACCCATGGGACACTTACTCCATGGTAAGATATCCTTGCTGTTTTAATTTACAAGCCAGCAGATGTCTCTGAGTAGGTGGAAGATAGGAGTCCAAGACAGTCTATGAGATGTCAGAAAAATTCAAATTCCAAGACATAGCCACTCATAAAATTATGTGAACTTCCTAGTAATGGGAAGTTAAGAAATATTCAGAAAAAATATATCAAGTAGCTAGTTAGCTAACAACAAAATTAGCAGAAGCATCATATCTGTCCCCAGATGTTAGAACAACCCCAAAGACAGCTAACTTTCATCAGATTGCTACATCTTATTAACCAATGACACCACTTACTTGGATACAATCCCATATTGACTGATGGAGGGTGCCATCTGTCCGTTGACTGATATCTCACAAATATTCCAAATAAAATAATAATAATCACTTGTAAAATAACGGCAAGAACAGGGAATCTGATCCGCATATTGGTGGTGAAAGAATTTGAACGAGGCATCCTTGCTGGAGTTTGACAAAGAATGATAAGGACAACTCCGACCACTTGCTATTTGTTTTAGGCTGGGTTGCATCATAATGACATAGCATAACCTCCTGCTTATAAAACGTCAAGCCTACTGAAGGAGGTGCTTATGTTTATTAAATGGTTCCTGCTTAGAAAACTTTCTTCTTATTCATCTTATTCAAGATTTATATCCATTCCTTCAAAAGTTTTCCAAAATAGAAATTTTTATATCTATATAATGCAAGGAAATGATCAAATAAATCAAATGACTCCAACTTGTATTGTTTTAATATCATATGTTTGAATACTTCCTCATACATCTTGTTTAAAATATATAACAAATTAAATTAATGCATAAATTTGTGTTTAAGTGCAAACTGCAAAAAGTCTTTCAATAATGTTAAAGTTACACATTGTATCCACAACCATATGTTTTCAAAGATAAGACAAACATAAGTACTACTACATATGACAGATAACATTTTTTAACAAGTGTAGTCTTCCTTTTCTATTTTCCAATATGCAAGTGTACAGAAATATACACATAAATATTACAGGAAATAATGTTTGAACAAGTCCTTTTAAAATATTTAGAGACAAAAATATATGAAGAATATTTGCAGGATTCAGGTATGTCTAGTTTAGTGAAAAGAAGGACTAGAAATGACATGATAGCAGTGTTCCAAAATCTAAGGGGCTGCAGAGAAGAGGGGGTCAAGCTATTCCCCAAAGCATCTGAAGGCAGGACAAGAAGCAATGGGTGGAAACTAATCTAGGAGACAACCAACTCAGAACTAAGGAGATATTTCCTAACAGTGAGAACAATTAAACAGTGGGATGAATTGCCTCCAGAACTTGTGGGTGCTCTATCACTAAAGATTTTAAAGAATAGAATAGACAGTCATTTGCCTGAAATGAAATAGGGTTTTCTGCTTGAGCAGGAGTTTCGACTAGAAGACCTCCAAGGTCACTTTCAACTGTTATTTTGTGGAATGTTTTAAAATGAATAAACATTTATAATATGGCTGAGCAAAGACACCATGAATTTGTTCAATTTGAATAGCACCAGAGGGGGTATTCAGCAGGTTCTGGCCAGTTCTGGAGAACCGGTAGCGGAAGTTTTGAGTAGTTTGGAGAACCGGCAAATCTCACCTCTGACTGGAGATTTTACAGTATCCTTCCCCTGCCACGTCCACAGAACCGGTAGTAAAAAAATTTGAATCCCACCACTGAATAGCACCCTGCTTTAACTTACATTATTTTGTAGGTTGCTTCATTTGACAGGTCTGAATCAGTGGTGGGATTCAAAAATTTTTACTACCGGTTCTGTGGGCGTGGCTTGGTGGGCATGGCAGGGGAAGGATACTGCAAAATCTCCAGTCAAAGGTGGTATTTGCTGGTTCTCCAAACAACTCAAAATTTCCGCTATCGGTTCTCCAGAACTGATCAGAACCTGCTGAATACCACCTCTGGTCTGAATTCAGTTGGAATCAGCAGCCTAGACAGTAACTAGAAATCAAGAATCTCATGATTAATTTCAAATAAATAGAAAGTGAGACTTTTTTATTCTAGACATTTCAAATTCTTTTGTTTCAAAACAAATATTGACAAATATATATTTTTTCATAGAATTTCCTTATCTCAAGTGATCAAGGTTCAGTTTAATGGGTCAAATGTGGTACTATACAAGAACAGTATTTTATATGGGAAGGGTGTGTAGGAGTCTTTATTTGAACAGAGGAGGATTAATTATTATGAAAATGGCACACCACATAAAAAGTTTGTCCAATCTAGGGTGGGATTGGATCCTTGTATAATTTCAGAGTGTTAGCGAAGAAAAGAAGTTACTTTGGAAATTACACACACACACTAAGTAATAAATGCACATTTTCTAAAGAGGATGTATCATGGTTACTGATTATTATTTTAATGCAAAGCAGGGGAGAACAATTTATTCATTTGTTTATTTATTTATTTATGAGTAGAATTCAGATGGGAAATAAACATGGCAGAACAACAAGAATTTAAATATTCCCATTTCCCAGGTTAAACGATCCGTGTTATATGCTTTCAAAGAGCTCTACTTTTTTTTTTAATCTACTCCTGGAAGTCACATTGAATAAAGAGCAAACTAACTTTAGAGTAGTCCTAAATCCCATGTGCTATATATGGAGAACCCCTCATCATGGTCCTCCTATACTGTCCCAAATCATTAAGGTAATTTCAAAAGAGATTCATAGTACGTGCGTTTTCAAAACACACTCATTGTTTCAGGCTAGAACCTAATCTATCCAAACTCACCCAGAATGGTTTGCAATTTAGCTGAATCTGATGCACCTCTTATCTTATTAGACTGAGACCCAAAAAGCTGATAGGATTACCAAATTTGAACTAAAAAGTAATTATTTATTTAATCAGTTTAGAGGCTGCTGACTTCTAATAACTGTAACTTACAATTAAAAAGAATAAAAGAGTAAAATAAAAATAATTCACAAGATACCCACAAATAAGCAAAAAGAAAAAATCAACAAGGGCTAAACCGTCAATCTTCCCAAGACCCAGAAGAGGTTTTCATTAGCTTCCTGAATGCCATCAGGATATAGGAGCCATGTGGATCTCTGGGAGGATATTATTCCAGAGCAGAAGTCCTGTGACAGAGAAGGCCCAATTCCTGGCTCTTGCTAGATATTATTTCTTAATTGATGGGACCCAAAGTGCACTGAATGTTGTATTTTTCTCATTTGCAGGGAAGATAAGAAGGATTTTCAAAGTATAATGATAAACACTAGAATTATAGATCTGTTTTATGTAAAAGAGTTTGTTTCAAGAGTTCCATATCTGCTGTTCTTAATATAAGATAGCTGCTTGCTTCATTAGATAACTTTTCTTAAACATCTGTGAAACAGTTTCAATGATCCTTGAAAGCATAGGATAATTGCTGAATTATCACAGTGAAAGACTTTCACAGTCTTGCCCTCAAAAATCCATTCCTGGTTTCTACATTTTAGTAGTAAAATCTGAAGGAACAACAAATCTTCTAGCAGAGCTAGGATGACCAAAGGATTTTGCCTAATGTTGTGTTAGGGCTATTGTGAATTGTTAGTCATTTTTGAACCACCACCACCCCACATAAACACACACACAAACAGTGATGCGTTTCAAAAATGTTTGCCACTGGTTCGGTGGATGTGGCTTGGTAGGCGCACTTTGCATGCGCACACACATTTTGCATGCGCACTCACACTTTGCATGCGCACACACACTTTGCATATGCACACACACTTTGCATGCACACAGACACTTTGCATGCACACACTTTGCGCTGGCGCAGAGGCTTTCCAACTCGCCTTTTGCAATCCTGCACTCCCCCTGTCGCTTCAGCAGCTGCCGCGCGACAATCTGCTGTGCCACGTAAGGCAGATGTGCTTCCAAAGCAGGACATAAAGGTTAGTATGGGAGCCTGGGCAGGCAGGTGGGCCCACAGCAGAGTGGCAGAGAGAACCGATTCAGTCTCCGCTGCTCATTGTCGCTACCGGCTTGGCAGAACCAGGCTGAACCAGTAGAATACCACCACTGCCCACAAACTAAGTTAAGGTCTAAACTGACTGCATATGAGTCTCTAGATACTCCCAAATATAGCCAATATATAAGTTGCATAGTTGTTGGCAATCTAACAACAGTAAAGTCTCAAGGTCAAATCCAGTGTGCTTCCCCTGACCTAGAACATAATTTGGAGGGTCAGCTTTCCTGTTCTTTAATGACTAATGAATGTTACAAGAAGAGTCTGGAAAATCAGTTCCTTTTTAAGTGAATGGAAAGGCTTTTAGGATTTAGGATTGATATTTATGAAATAATATAAAAAAATATTTCATGGTACATGTATTTTCTACCCCTTAATGGTTTTCAAATGTAGACTAAAGCACTGGGAATGAGGAACAGGGAATAAAATCAGAATTAACAAAATATACTCTTTATGTTGTAATAAAGAGAGATTAGCAATGCTGCAGCTGTGTTTTGCAATCCTCCACTGAAAAGGACACAGTTTTGCTGCTGCCAATATAATTGTTGCTGCCAACATCATTGTGGATACTCTAACACTGGAAGTTTTTAAGAAAAGCTTGGATAGCCTTTGTCCAAAATGGTATAGGGTTTCCTGCTTATGCAGGGGTCATACTAGAAAACCTCAGGGTCCCTTCCAACTCCGTTATTCTATTCAAAGCTTATCAAAGTGGTTGCTTTTTGAAGGGAGTCCTTTGGCAAATCATCCACATCATAAGTAAGAAACTTGTGTGTTTTTTTAAAAAAAGGCAAAGAGGTTACAGACTGATGAGTAATGAAAAGAAGTGTAAGACTGTTTTCCTTATTTGTTTCTTCATAGAATGAGAATCATAAAACAGGACCTGAATGAAAAACAGATGTGAAACATATTTTGGCATAGAAAGTAGAATATCAATATCCAGTATTTCTTAGCTAAGCAGCCATGTTACACTTTTACAAATCCTCACAGATTTAGGCAAACATTTAACAAACAAAACTAATAAAAAGTAAACTAACTCTACAATACTTCTATCATATATATGGAGAAATCTCCTTTCCTTCATCTTTGTTTACATAAACTCAACTCCTGCAGTTTCAGGAAAACTGATAATTAATCTTCTTCAAAGAATCCCACTTTGATTCATGCCACCACCAAATCAATCCAAAATCATCCAGAACTGTTTGGGATTCAGCTGAATCTGATACACACTCTTAATCATACTTTGAGAAAGAAGCGCTGCTGGTATTGTATTGTCTTCTACTCAAAAGAAAACAGTTTTTTGCCCACTGCCATCAAACTATTAGAATCTGAGTCATAGGTTCAGTTTTATATGGTGCTCAAAACCATATCCCAACCACATTGTCAGAAACAACACTCCAGTTCCTGAAAACAGTATGTCAGATTCTTGAGTGTACCTCTAAAGCTGCTGGTAGCTGGAGGTTGGTCTAGCTAAAGTGTAGATTGCAATGGCTTCCTCAGTATTCTTGCTAAATTTAATTTGATTTGGAAGCAGGCGCTACT